ATAAAAGCTTGGACTGTGCTATTTGTTCTTGATCACTTTCTCCAAATGTGGCCATAAACACTTCTAGAAATGAATTCAAATCATAAAGAAGTCATGAATCTTTTTCCATTAAAGGTACAAAGCAAGAGAGAGCACTTCTTGATAGTAGTGCACCTATGAACCCGACTTGGATAAATCCATCGGGATATTGGAAAGGCTGCAACTTTAGATAGAAATTGACTTGTTGCAAAAATCTTCAAAATTTTGATCTTATTCCATCAAACTTCTCAGGCATACTAATCCTTATCCTCGTCATACTTGTAGAAGCAAAACTCCCTGGATTTGGTTGTAATATCGATTTACTTGCTTCTTTCAATTGCACAACTTCTTGCCAAAGACTCTAAACTTCTTCTATATGCGTAGACATAGTACTTCTATGATTCACGTTGAAAATATATGAGTTTTCTACTTTTAGAGTGTTGACAAGCTCATGAAGATCTACCATAGTTGCAAATCTATTTTCACTTCTGTTGAGAATAGCATCCATAATCTTTTCTTCCATAGATAACTCAAAAGAATTCAAAAGTTAAATTAGAAGAGGGTAATCCGCAACCTCTGAAAACAAATCCCATAAAGCGGGATAATCCACTCTCTTTAAGGAAAAGATCAATGTTAGAAAATAAGATTTTTATTTAAAGGTGGATATTTTGTAACCTTCAAAATACAACAATAGAAGTGGGGTAATCCACTCACTTCTAAAACAAGACAAAAATAATATGTTAGCACTCTTGTCAAATTATCAAGGACATAAATCTCAAAGAAAGAGAATCCTTAATATATTCTTCTATCATTGAAAAAAACTACAAAGTCATTTAAAAGGTGATGTAATATTAACTAGAATGGCTATTGCTAAAATCAAGAAGACTAGAAAGTCTTGAAACAAGATTAAGACTAAAAAAACATTGACAAGAGTGAAGAAGGCTTCACTCTTGCCTCCATACATACTATCTAACCAAGAGCTACGTGGTGATGTTCTATAGGACTTCCAACATGTGTTGACTTTATTAGCCACATGTCTTATCTTGCAAGGCAAGTTATCTATGTATGTGCCATGTAGTTGGCTTGTTCCATAAGCTACTACATGTAGATAACTTGTTCCACAAGCTACTAATACATGGTTAGCTTTTTGGCCATGTTTCTAATCTATAAACACATCTAAAGTCAAAACCGCATCTATGAAGCTTCTCTAGAAGACTTTGTGGAATTAATTAATATTTTCCTATTTCTTCGTAATAATATAAGTAACTTTTGAAATATTTGTATATGTTCATGATACTAAATGATTTTTTTCCTCACAAAGTTGAAAGAAAAAGCCATTTTGATTTTAATATTTATATTGTAATGGAGTTTGGATAAGATATTTGTATTATTGATACATAGAATTAGATAGTTGTGAATGTGTTTGAGAAGTTATTGAAGTTTTTAGAATTGGAGCTAGGTTAGTAGACTACATTGGATCTACTATATAACATTCTATAAAGAGCTTTGGATTATTTTTTAAGTGGAGCCTAGCATAGTACTTTCTAAAAATAATTTAGGATGGTTATTTAAGTGAATTGTATTATTAAAAATTTTCTACAAAGTTTCAAGAGGGTTGGACAATATATAAATATAACTAATAAGGGTCTTTTGGGCATTTGGTGAGGTATGACTTTGGTCCTTTTTTCTTAGTAAAGTTTGGTTTTGCATCTTTATGTTCAATTCTATTCTATTTTATTTCTATTTGTTTAATTTTTTCTTTCATATCTTATTCTGTTTAATTTTGTTCAATTTTATTTTGGTCCGTTTTGTCCTACTTTGTGATAAAGATTTATATTGCTCTAGATTAGAAGGGTCTTAAATTTTCAAGATAGATTGATCCTGTTTCATATGTATTGTGGAAAACTAATAGATTCTTCTTCATCATTCCATTCTATGTAGATGAAATCATGTTTGTGTCTAATTACTAGAAACTTCTTTTAGAAATTAAGAGAAACTTAATTGAGAGGTTTGAAATGAAGGATTTAGAAGAAATTCTTTATATTTTGGATGTACAGATTATGAGGAACCAAAAGATTTGTTAAATCTACCTCAGTTAGCAAAAGTATGTGGAAAATATCCTTGAAAGGTTCGGCATGAAAGATTATAAACCTTTAGCTACATCTTTGGATTCTAATAGTAAATTGTGAAAAGACATGAGTCCATAGATTCCTGAGGAGATTGAAGCAATAAAAGAGATTTTATAATAAAATATAATAGATAGTTTAATTTATGCAATGATAGGCATTTGAGTAATTATTTCATATGTAGTGGGAGTTTTTAGCCAATACATGGTAAATCTTGGCCGACAACATTAAATAGCTACAAAATGCATTTTGCAATATCTTCAAGGCATATCAAATCATATGCTATAATATGGTGGAAGCTCTTTGAGTTTGCAAGTGGTTGATTATTGTGATGTAGACTATGTAAGAGATATTGATACATGATGTTCAACCACTAATTATGCATTCTTGTTGGCTAATGGTACAATTAGTTGGAATAGCTAGAAACAACCAACAGTCATATTATCTACTAATGGAGCAAAGTACATGGCTACAATTCATGCTACAAAGGAGATAATTTGGCTTCAAAGGTTTTTTAAAGACATTGGATCTTCACACGATGGTCATTTAACTATTTCTATTAATAATCAAAGTTGCATTTTTCTTTCAAAGAATCCTACATTCCATACTCGTACTAAACATGCTGAAATTTAGCATCACTTTTTTCATGAGAAGATTGAGAGTGGCAACATTAACTTAGTTTTTTAAGGGACTAAAGACATGGTTGCATATATTTTGACCAAAAGTCTAACTTGTGAGAAACATTTTAAATTCAAGGAGATGATGGGTATCATCAAATTGAGTTAGTGTAATATGTTGTTAAATGAGAGTATTAATAGAATGTGTAACTCATATTAGACATAAAGTAGAATGGGCAATTCACACCACTTTGCCGATTGATAAGTTGTAGCTGCCATTTGTTGGTGGTAATACCATTTAACTGCCATAGCCTACCAAGCTGTCATATGGCCGAACAAGATGAGTATTCATATGTTAATTGGACATTGTTGAGTAGGCTAGTTGTTTGTATATTCACGTTAGAAAGTCCATGTGGTTAGACCATAGACTTGTGCTATATAAGGAATAAAAGTAGAGGTTTATTTTAAGCATTTGTTTACTTGAATCTTTGATAGTAAGATAGAGAATTCTTTTGTATTTGATTCATAAAACTTCTATCTTAACAATACACTTCCTCTTTATTTTCTCACAAATATAAAATTTTAAATAAAAAAGAATTAATTATATTTTTATATGAGTTTTTTATTCCAATAAATAAAAACTATAAATTTATTACTTTTACGTTTGATACATTGTAATTAAGAATGTTACTGATATGGTTACAAAATCATCTTACATATTTTAAGTTGTATAGTATTCTTAAAAATTTTAATGTTTGGTTGTGTTATTATGAGTTTTAAGAAAATGTCTTCTTTCTAAATAATTTCAAATTATATTTTTCAATGAAGAATTATAGATATAACTTCTAATACTTTATATCTTTTTATATGCTAAAATATTAATGATGTAAGAATAAAAAATAGAAGATAAAGAAGTTTAATAAAACAAGATACTATATTAGAAATGTAACTCTATACCTAACTTAAAACAAAATAACACTTTGATTACCTTAAAATTTATGTTGGTACAATTGAAACATCTTATTTAGGTCCCTTATTTATGTTATTTCCAATATTCTTTAAAAATTCTATAGAAGTTTAATATGGTTTTATAGGTCTTGATTATTTGATTATATACATATATATATATATATATATATATATATATATTTAATAAATACTATTTTTATTCATCATGTTGAATAACTTAAACAAAAACACTAATGTTTAGCCTAGTTAGTTGAAAGGTATGAATTTATACTAAAAGAAATTTATTCAAGGTGTGTGTATTCTGTACAACAATCAAAATATATTTACACTAGTAGTAATAATCAAATACCTGATGTCATGAACAATTTTTGGAATCAGAATTTGCAAATTACTTCCAAACTGGTAAATAGAACTACCATTTTCATGCACACACTACACCAAGTATTTACCTACTTTCAAGATTTTAGGTTTCAGGGTTTCTAGCTTCTATGGTTTGCACCAGTTGGTGTTGAATTATTTTGCTATGGAAAGAACACAATGACAACAAACTTTGTTCTTTTCTGGAACCAAGTGTAAACTCTGCAGGCCTGATGAACTAATATTAAGTGAGCTAGAGCCAACTCTTGGCCCTCGCTGCAGAGGAGACTGATTCCACATCAGCAATATGAGAGCTTCCACATCAGCAACATGAGTGCTTCTATATCAGTGGAGCAACTACTATTGGTTTTCTCATCCACGTGTATATTCATTCCGTTTATTCATCCATCCATCCGGACGTGGAGAGGGGCTCTTCTCACACTCGATGACGTGGACACGCAGACACGTCACAGCATGCGTCACACATTGGAGCTTGGGAGAGTTGGGTGGTCTCCATCTCCTGACGACGACAACCAGGCGACGAAGCCATCCTCATCCACCACGGTAATCATTTAATTCATTCGTTCGTCCTGGAGATCCGTGTCCTGCCATGGCCTTGCCGGCACTGGGAACCCCGGCCCCGGTTTTAATGTTCCACATCAGCCAGAAAGGGCCACCACTGCTACTTGTCCACCACGGGGAACCGTGAGGAACGACGTTCCCATCACCCCTGATTGGGCGTTCCCCAAGTGGGAGTTAGAGCGACAGTATAAAAGACGAAGTTCAGGATACGGACAAACTACGGAAGGTGCTTTCTAGGAAGCTGCTTGAAGCGTGGTGAAGCGAGCGAAGTGCCGAGGGGCTATTATTTTTTTTGAGCGAGGAGGCCCAGACCGATTCAAATTTTCGAATGAAGCGATTTTTCGTGGTTGAAGACGTCAATCAAATTGGTCCCCACCCGAGATCGCATTTGCATTCGCGGAACCCAAGACCACAATTGAATGACCTTTATTCTCTCAAACAAATTAAAACTCTCTCTAACGCACCGATTCCATGCTCTCCTCCTCCCACCCTTAGCTGCACCTCGCAACGTGCCCTGAGGACTCGTCGTCGTGGAACTGAGTCGGACGTGGACGGCGAGCAATCCAGGGTTTCACAGGTGCACGCGGCCATTTCGTTTGTCGCAATTTGGTCTTGTCTGTATCGCAGGCGCATCCAAATTGGTCCCCGCGAGGTTGCACTGTTGACAATCTAACTGTGGCGCGGTTGTTTGGGGTCGCAATTGAGAAACGAGGGCAGCAGGGAGACGACGGGGGATTGAGTGGTGGCAGTGATTGTTGAGGTACATGGAGCCCTGGGGTCGGTCTGTGATTAGGCCGGTTGGTGGTCGCGAGTCGGGATTGAGTCTGGGTGATATGTGTTGGTGGTCGTGGACGGGGATTTGTGATTGTATGTGATCGGTCTCGCGGGTGGCTTGGGTGATCGCAGTGGTGGTGGGAGGTGATTGAGCTTGAACTTGGGATCGTTGGTCTCCTTCGTGCGTTTCGCGTTTTTGAGAGAGTAGGGTTTCGGGGACATTTGGTCGGTTTGTGCGGTTTTTGTGTGCACGCGGATGTTTGTTCCTTCAGGAATTCGTAGTATGTTGGAGAGTGCAGCGCAGGTCATCTGGGCATATGAGGAGAATGCCAGTGTTCGTTTGGTTTTTTCGGGTGTTTTCTGGGGATGTTCTCTTTTCGATTGCTTTTGCGTATTGTTTTGGTCCAGTGAAGTGTGGCAATTTTTTTTACTTAAGATCCACAGTTTTAGTGAAGTGCAGAATCGTTGGGAGGGAAATGTGTACACACTTGATTGGAGTCAATCTGGTTCTCTTGTAGAGAGTACGTTGGCTTTACCAGGTGGTTTTGTAATTTACTTCTTAATCGGGGGTTTTGGGAAGAATATTTGCACAGGAGTGTCGTCCACGTTGACTTGTTGGGAGCGCCTGTCATTTTTGGTTGGATTTCACCATTGAGGAGTTCGTTAGTTTATACAGATGTCGTGGAATTATTCAAATGTGAGGTCCAGGATTAAAAGTAGAGTCTGCGGTACTGGGAATGGTTGCAGTTGTGGACATGTATGGTGGGTTGTTTTGACCGGAACTATGCTGTGTTTTCTTCATAATTTTTTGCACCATGAATTTGAAGCGATGCCGACTAGGCGAAGAATATTTGTCTGATACGGCTTGCATGCGTGGTGGGAACTTTTGTGTACTTAGTCTTTGGAATTGAGGAATTGAGTTTAATCGAATCTAGTTTACGGAATGTGATGTTCTTAATGATGGATGTGAGAAGCTTGTTGTGTAGGGCAAATATTACAATAGGTGATTTATGCACTAAAGGGAAAGCGACTTGTAATTTCGGCGTGGTTATCCGGTGCGTCATCTTGAGTCGACGACTGCCGAGAGAATCGCTTTTCCGTTCTTGGAAATAGAACTCTGGTTGCGGTGGGCTGTTTGAGGTGATAAAGTGAAGTGGTAGAAGATGGTATGAGCGCTAGAGTTCTCACGCCACGAAGGAGAGCTCGGAAAAGTAGCAAATTGAAGGAGTTGTGGTGGGTGGAGGATAAGCTGTGAAGTCCAATTAGCGGAGGTGGCAAATAGATAGGCGTTTCAGGTTTGCAACATCTTGTGCTTTCGTGGGCTAGGTGTTGTAGTGGAAGAGAAGAGGAGTCAGCATGGACGGCGAGTTTTGGGCTTCTCGGATGTCTCCTTCGAAGCGCCATCACACATTTCAGCCACCTCAAACAATTTTAGGTTTGTTTACCTTGGTACCTTTCGGTGTTTGTAAAATATGTCGTTGCGCAACAGACGGCGTGTGGGCTTTAAGAAAGTGCAATTTGGTATTTCTTGGATTAAGTGAGGTACTCACATCGAACACTCGGTGACAATGTCAATGTGACCATTACTCGTCAGCCCAGTCATCTTCTTTCCTCGTTTTCACTTTTTCCTTTTTTTATTTTCTTTTATTTGTTTAGTTTTGGACTTAACACCTTCATTCATCGCTTTGAAGAGGGGCTGATGATCACTTTATTGAGTAATTTGATGAACACTATGGACCGATGATTCTGTTACTGTATCTTGCTTACTCAGAGATTTGCTTACGAGTAGGGATGGCTACATTGCTTTGCAGATCGTCAGGTTAACTTAGATGATGTGGACGGTGATGAAGACATGCGAGCTGAATTCTCGTGCCCTTACTGCTATGAAGAGTTTGATATCGCTGCCCTCTGCTCACATCTTGAGGAGGAACATTGTTTTGAATCTAGAGCTGGTGTAAGTTTTCCTCCTATTTGATTGTTATGGTATACCTGTTCATTACTCGATTCTTCTTACGGTTTCTGTATCATACAATTTGTTGTTACTCTTTTTTCACTTTAGAGATGTCTCGATTGCCTGATGTTCGTGTTTGGGCGTAATACAAAGAGCGTGTAGGGACGAGTATTAGTCTGAATCATACTTGGTTGTTTCCAGTCTTTAAAAGATATAGTATTTCATTTCAATACACCAACTAGAAATGTTTGAATCAATATAATGTTGGTGTGCTGATGACTACGCTCATTCTGGGAAGCAGATGTGTCCAGTATGCTCTGCAAAGATTGCGAAGGACATGGTGGGCCACATTTCGTTGCAGCATAGCCAGTTGTTTAAGATATCCTTAAATTGCCATTTAAGCTCCCATTACTCAATTGATGTTATTGGTCGACAAGAGTATTGTTCGAAAGTCTGCAATTGCTTCTTTTTCGCTGTTCAGAATTGTTGATGAGGTGTGATAGTCCACCACAGTGCCTTTTGGATTCTAGAAAGGACATTTTTCCTTAACGAAACCTCACATGCAACGTCGAAGGAGATTCAGGAGAGCTGGAATCCCATCAAATGCTGCTCTTTCACTTTTTGGAAAGGAGATTCGCGAAGCGCACTTGCAGGCGCTTCTAGGTGGAACATCTCGGTCATCTGCCCCGTCAAGTGCTACCGATGTACTCCTTTCGTCTCTGGTATATAATATTTCTGTAACCGAGACCGAAGATCCCCCCAAACCTGCAGTGGTGGTCGTGGAGCAACCAGTAAAGTCATCTTCTCTGAGTCAACAGCCTAAGACCAGGCAATTTTTTGCTCTATTATGTTCTACCATCTACTGTCTCTTGTATGTTGTTATCAGTGTTTGTATTTCAATTTGTGAAAAATTATAACTGGAGCGTGATGACCATCCTGTTCTTTTGGCCTATTTCACTTGATTTGCCACATGGTCGCTTACCTGCATGAGTTGCATGGTTTTGGCCTGACGCCATGTGCTCTTGGCTGAAGCAGTGTCGATAATTTGCTTACTGCGGAAGAGCGGGATGAGAAGCGAAAGCATGCTAATCTGCGTGCTATGTTTGCACAACAGCTTGTTCTATCTACTCTACTGGGTGACAACTGATTACTTGGTCGATTTGCATTTATTCGCTGCTACAGGATAATTTCCAGGAAGGTTTTATATTAAGAGCTGCATTGTACAGCTTTTTAAACTTCCTGCCTAATCCATTCCTTGGGGAGCTGAAAGGCATCCTGTATGATCATCCTTCGCCAGGAGACCCGATCGCATTATCTTAGGGCTTGTATAGCTTAGCACAATGTTTTAGATCGCTGAAGATCTGGGATGTTAGCTCAAGACTGCAGATTCTTGGATTCCTGGATGCAGATCATTCTTGTTGTGCTCTTATAAGGTCCTAATGACGGGACCTAGAGATTGTAGTATTGTACCGAATTTTATGACTGTATTGCTGCCTACGTGGAGGCACTTTCTGAAGTGTGATACTCGTAGCTGTCTCTCAACTGCACTGCATGTCGTATTCGATCACTCTTTTATCTAGAGTTTAGTCACCTTCAATCTTCGTTGGAGCGTTTAATCTGATGCTTGCCTTGTTAAGTTCGTATCCAAGTGTGATGTGAGGGCGACTAACTGGACTGAAGAAGCTTTGTTCACTGACGTTTATGGAGTCGTTTGCTGTTCTTTGAAGCCTGAAAGTTCATAGACTCAAATCATATGACAATCGGGTTTTAATTGTTCAGTTAATTATATGATCAAACTGTGTACTTGATAGTTTCGAAGAAAATCCGCGCAGGTATTAACAAGTTCAGAGACAACTTAAGTTCACTAATAATTAAGTACAATTCCAGAGACTATGACAGAAATGTAAGTGTAAGTAGGATTGAAAAGTCAAGGAATTCATCATCACATGTAAGTGAAAGTGAGGTAGTACTTCATATCACTAAAATGACCTAATACAATTTGATCTGATCACGAAATACAGACAGAATCCTTGATTGCTACACAAAAGAAGTCGAGATAACTATTCTCACGTCATTTGTTACTTGAAGATAACTTCGTTGAGCTCTGCTCCTCTTTTGAGTTGTCAAGGATGCGTCCTTGCGTGGGTATCAGGCACGGAATCCCATTCATGATCTGTGCACTTGACGACATAAAATGCATGAGAAAATTCTCCACACTCATGGCAAAAAATGATTAGCACATGTGTTTTGACTGTTATGAACCGTTCAATGTCGTGTGACGGATTGAGTTTACGTGAATGAGACCGGGAATGTAAGACCACTTACCGGGTAAGCTACGCCAATTGCGTCACTCACAAGCTCATTCGTCTTCTCACAGTACCTGCATTTGTCAGCATCGTAACAAAATCACCGCATGCGGGAAATGTCCCTAAAATTTACCAGATTGTTAGACACTTCCAGTGTTAAATTATCAAATAGCTTGTGCACAATCGGATAGCACTTGACCAGAGAGTGACCTCACAGCACACAGCCAGTTCCCGATCGACCGCCAGAAACCCTACGACGCAGAAGTTGCTAGCTTTGTGGGTTGCAGGAATCCGACCCTAACCTGACGAGAAATCCCGCAACCAGGCGATGCACTCACCTAAGAGGTTCTTTGGAGAGAGGACAAGCAAGATACTGGAGAAGCGACTTGTTAAAGATGGCCTGCCTCATCACAACCCCTCCTCTCACCATCCTGACGACCGTGTTCCTTACCAAAAGTTGTTCTCCTGACGATCCGTGCGCTCCAAGATGCGCGACAACATTCAGCAGAAGAAGCCCGCAACGGGGTAGTTCAAAGTACTGACGAATGCATAAAACTTGTTGCGTTAGTGGCATCAATTCGCTGATAGCAGGGCAGGAATGAATCCTCGAACTTCTTACAAAACGACACCGCTACAGATGTTCGACGGATGGAAATGACAATTGCTTCAAGTTGAAGTCCCGAAGTCTTATCATCAAGCCTTGCCAGGTAGACATTGAAAACTTTCCTGTAGCCATTTGGTGTGTGTTCCAAACGGTTCCACAAGTAGAGGTTTGAGCTGTGGCGAGACGCTATTTGCGTCCGCTCGATCTATTCTATTCGCTAGAATTTCCTCCCAAACAGCGCATATCCTAGATGTGAAAGCGCAGGGTAAAAACGCGACTTTAAATATCTCTTCTCCCTCTGCCACCGCTTTCTATCCCTGCCTCTTGGAGCTTCGCAGTGAGATCAGAGTTTGCTCACTTTGATGCTCGTCTGCTTAAATTCTCATTGAAGTGTTTCTCCTTTTCTGGTGCTGGTGATCGGATTGCTTTGTTGCCAAGCATCTTCTCAGAAACCTGTTACTTCATTACAGTTGCAGTGTTGGAGGAAATACTGAATTGGGAGGCTGGTGAGGAGGCCACATTCCAGATCGAGATTCAACAGGTGGTGGGAAGCCAGCGACCATTGCTAAGGGACGATCATCGGTAGGGAGGCGGGGATCCGCCTCCCGGAACAACCGCAAGGCTATCTCATCAGCCAAGAGGGCAATCAGAAAATTGAGGAAGCAGGAGCGTGCATGGCGCCCCAAGCGTGCTATCGGCCCATACATGTTCTTCTGCAAAGATCAACACGCAAATGTAACTGCTGACAATCCCAGCATTCCCTTCACCGAAATCGGAAAAATATTGGGTGCACAATGGCAGCAAATGAACGAGAAAGACAAGAAGGTTCAACCGCATCTTTTTCTCCTCTCTTTCCATTTCGAGTTAGTCGTATTCATTTGTTCACGTTCCCGCAAATCAGGTCCTAAAAGCAAAGACTGCAACGAGAATCATAGAGAAAAGAGAGGGATGAGGAACTTCTATGCAAACAGTTTGCAACATGTCTGTAATTAAAAGTTACAAAGAATCTCTCACATGAACGATTTAAGACCTGCTCATGGTAACCTAGCATGAACATCCAGTAACAATGTTGGCACATGTATCCTGCAGCCCTACATCAAAAGATCCGAGGTAGACAAGAAGCGTTACGAGAAAGAGCTTAAGCGCTGCAAACTTAAATGATGCACTACAAAATGGCGGGCCACTTCAGAAGCGGCCAATTACCCAAGATCTTTCAAAAACTTGCCAGTCAATATACTTTTGAGAATCACAGATGTGAAGGAACAATTATTTGGTGAAGAAAAGAACTACAATTGAATTTTCTCCTCCGATCCTCGTCTTTAAAAAATCTATGGTTTCATCCACATATGCCTTCGAACTCCACGTTAGAACTCTAAGGTATGCACATCGATACAAGCACTAGATTTGCTATACTAGAACTAGATCGTGTACGAATTCTATATCGTGGGGCCCAGTTAATTATGGTTGTAAACCACAGAATTCTGAAGACGGAACAAGAGCAAGAGTACCAAAATATGGAGAAATACAGGTAGTCGCATAGTTGCATATTGTACGATGAATTTCACTGTCAATCAAGTCAAAATTTGAAAATTCATGATGAATGTGATTACAATCAATTGCAGACTGGAACTCAGTGGTTGTCTTCACTTTGATAATGTTGCTACGCCTTCGACATTTATCACAGTGAGAAAATCTAAATTTTTACACTGGAAACATCCTTCTACATGCACAAGGAGCGAAAAGATAGCCTCTAGCCTGTTCTGAAGATCATGCGCTCGCCCCTAGTTGTCAATCACCCTCTCTTCAAGTGAATGTGGATGAAGTGGATTGGTCTTGACACACCTTGAGTGTAGGTGTTCGTGCTAATCCAATGAGTCTGATGGACACTCGTTGGGACATGTTGGGCATCGCTTTGCTCTCTCGAAGTCAGAATCTGCACACTGCAGACCGAACTCAGCGGATACTTTCTTCTCATCATTATCGTCCACAGCTCCTAAGGGATAAGAGACCAAAAATTCAACAGTACAAGATATCAACGTCCCTTGAACTTCAAAAATTGTTCAAGTGATACACAAATTTACGAATCAGTCATGAAGAATAATGCTCATACCTATACTTGATTCAAACAGCCTGTATTCTTAACACTTCCATCCCCGCGAACTCGAAACATAAATGTACTTAGGGATAATACATTTTTTTTCCAATTGGGAGCCACAAAAAAGTTTCACAGGGAAATCGCTGGAAAGACCATGCAACTGAATACATGACTTACGATCTGTAACACAAAAAAGCACTATAAGACATAATATTAACGCTGCAAGGCTGTCCAAATATAATAATGGTTCAATCTTCAATCTGAACTCATGTGCAATTCAGTGATATATCACACCCTGCAGACGAAAAGGTTATATTCTCCTTTAGGCATCAATTGCTTTAATTCTAAGAACTGAATTGACAGATATAATTATGTATATGAGAATCCGTCACGGACACAGACTTGTGATATGCCCATCTAAAGTGTCTCATGGCTTCAAGTGGCCTTAATTTATGTCCATATTTACGACAGTCACGCTTCTAATGCGTCCAGTCAAGAATCAGGACAATTTTATCATGAAATGCAGAAAACCCACTCATTGTGACTGCTATCAGTCGAAATTGTACACAAAAATGCCCGCTCGGTGAGAGATAAAGAGGCAGAGTTATACAAATGACACACCAGAACCTTCGAAGCCAACCTTGGTATCGAAGAATGAACGATTCTGCAAAATATCCGGTACAACTGTCGAGCATTGTTAGGCTGATACCAACTGAACCAGGCTCAAAATCCATATGCTGATGATGAAGAAGCTACTTGTATCGATAACATCTACGATGACATTTTCGCAGTGTTTACAATCTTTGCATTACGAGCGCATGATCAAAGATGCTAGCACGCTTCTTTCAATACGAAGAAGAGGGAACTTCACGTCCTACCTCTGCATCGGTGCGTGTGAACGCGGCATCAAAATGCTTGGAAGCCAGCAGTTTCAAAAGCATTTCCTTACTCCTGCACAAATTTCATGCACTGATAAGCTGATATACAAGAAAAAGCATTAACTCCAAAATATCTCCGTGATGGATATCTACTGTAGGATAAAAGATTAGAGGAAACTGTCTTTACATTTACCCAAAAGGAACAGCAATTCACATGCATGACAAAGTCGAAATGTGCTAACAGATAGAGCGAAAAGGTATCGATCACTTAGACAGAAATCTACCAGCGGTTCACAGCATGACCGGACCATCAAACAAACCCTCGCCATCTCCTCCAGAACGATAATATTTTCGCTCGAAATCTTGGATAATACAGTAAGGGTGGACCCACGAACATCAGGACTATGTAAAGAAATGGGTCCATGCCCAAGGAAAGAAAAGGCAAACAAGAAAAAATTGCTTTCTGACAAGTAGTAGCAGATGATACTTGTTTACAGAGATGCCAACCGGTCTTTATATCGTGTATCCGTTACATTGCGTGAGAGTATCCCTGCTGCGTATCGTCTCTAGAAACATCAATATTTCGCCACGTCTGAATAAAGTAGCAATGGACGCCTCTCGAACCCGACGTGCAGCACAGCTACTTGTCCTCCTCGACGAGCTGCTGCTTCGTGTCCCACACTCGGTGCAAAACGAATGCCACAAACTGTATATTCGAATCCCGTGCAGCTAGGATCGATGCTATCCATGCGTGGCCCTGTAGCTAACCCGCAGCAGGTTGCAGTGACCAACACTGCGCGAAGTGGGCTTTGAGACCGTTCGCACCCTGCAATGAATTTTAGGACCTGTACTAGTCAATAGTCAATGAAGAACCTCGTTGGTATGAAAGATCATCTTGGTGTTAGTGTTATGTGATATGGCATAGGGTGCCAAATCCCTAGTTTAGTTGGTTAGTGGTTTTTCATCCATTGATAATTTTTTCATTACTTGATTTTGTTCATATCAATTAGTATTTGAATATTTAAGTGGAAAAAATCTTTGACTTGACAAGTCAACTCTTGCAAATGATTTCAAGTGTGAGGGAGCTTGTTGTAAGGTTTGCTTGGCTATTGTGATTTAGCCATTTTAGTAAAGCTTTAGGGTTTTTCTTATTTTCACATTTATGAATCTTACAAATGAATTTCTCCTTTGTGGTGTGAGAGTCAGCTTGACTTAATTTGGAAAAGATTTCTAATCTTTCACTTGACAAGAATCTCTTCTTCTCTTCAATTTGTGGTATAGCAAGTTGGAATAAAGTTCAATAAAATAAAAATAAATAAATCAATAAATAAAATTACAATTTGGATTTTGTTATTGTTACTGGATTTTGAGCATTGTTGTGCTGGGGTACCGGAACCCTGCTAAGCTATGTATTGTTGTACTAGAGCCATATGGTGATGGAGTACAATATAGTACTGAGTGGTACTGGAGCTCCGAGGCAGAACTAGACTATGCGGGTTGCAGAGCACAGGGTTGCGGCACTAATGCAAGTCATGAGAATTTGGTCACGAAGATTGGTCGCGACACTTAGGTGCGACACAACAAGGCCGATAGAGCAGTGCAAAACAGGGAAGGTCACAAGAGGAGACCAATCTGCAACGTAGACTATGTAGCTAGGTGCAATACGAGTCGGTTGCGAGTAGGTCACGAGGCTCGTTGCAAAATAGAAGGACACAGTTTTGATTTTTTCTTTTTTGATTGCAACAAGGCATTGTGTAAGGGTTTGGCGCATTGTGGCACAAAGGCTCGATTAGGGTTGCAACATAGGATTTTGGTCGCGAGAGCTGTGCGACATAAGAAGATTCTGGTGCATGGAAGCATGGTGAGCTTGTCAAGCATCGCATGAATAGACAAGGATGTTGGTGCGTTGGAACATAGTGAGTTCGTCAAGCATCATGTGAACAGACAAGGATGTTGGTGTGACACTTCTTGGTGCGGAGGTGCTTGATGCGGGGCATTCGTACTTGTGGCAGAGGTGTGCATTGAGAATCGACGTCCCGTGCGACTAGCGGCAGCTAACAACAGGACACAACAGCAAGGAAGCATCCTTCTGCAGCTCAAGGCGCCAATCAAATATAATAGATCCCACACTCATAGGAGACGAACACAATAAGAAGAGGTGCACGAGGTCACAATGGTCGTACTATAAAAGGTCTCATCACGTTGATAAATACGCAGTAATAAGATCCCATGGTCACACGATTTTGTGGTCATAGATCCACTGCACAGTTAAAGGGCATTAATTGAAAAAAAATAAAATAAAATAAAACACACACACACACATTGTTTAGTACTTTAAAGTGTCAAGTTTGAAAGCCCACTCCAAGTCCATATGAAGTCTAAATTTAATTATTTTTGAGTCAATTTTATGGGGAAGAAATTCAAGGAATCCATTGATACACTTATTTTGAAATGAAGATCATTTGAAGCATGGAAGTGGCATTTATTAAATGCTGATTACTTTCTAAGTGAGTTTTTAATTTTCTCTTACTTCTCTATATTTCATTTTATTCCAAGTGTCTTTTAATGTCACAAATTCTAAGATTTGTAACCATGAGCTGTAGGTGGATGTTAGTTGCTCTAGTTCACTTTTGATTTTTGCTTATGTGTCATTGAGGATAAAGATCAAGCATAAAATTTTGGATTTTGTTTTTGGTACCTTCCTCTAGTTACAAGTATTATTCTCAAAGATTTTTTGTAGTTATTCTATTTTGTGTTTGTATTAGTTTGTATTGATAGGCATATCATATGGATGAGGTTGAATTGATGGTAGGTGAGGTCCTTCTATTTGTGGATATATTGAACCTGTAATAATTTGGAGGTGATTGTTGGTGAAATGCAAAGCTTGGTGGTATTTGTAGGTACAAGTTGTTCTTTTAGCCTTTAGCCTTCAAATAGTCTTCTTTAGGATCCATACTAAGAATTGATATTATTGATCTCTTTCACTAGACTACTTAGAGAGTGACCACATTGAAGATTTGAGGCCAAGGACTAGATGTTAGTAAGACTTTTCAACTTGTTTAAGTAGTGGATACTACTTGGAGGCTTTGGGTCCCAAAGATGGATCCATTTTACGAGATGGAGGACAATCCTTGCAACATAATAAGGGAAAGATTCTTAAGAAGAATTAGGGGCATTTCTTTGTAAAATTGGAGACCAAAGTTTCAAACTTGAATGAATGAGAAGTGTCAAAGGTCTTTTACTTTTAATGAGTGGTATGCTTGTGAGCTCTTACCACAACTTTTCGAGCACAAGGCACTTCAAACTTATGAAAAATGGAGTGAGAGACATTCATATGAGTTGCATGAAATAGAGCATTATTAAGAGGCATACATAGAGCTTATTTCAACTCTTAAGAAAGGTGTTATTTTAAACTTAATGCCTATAGTAAACAAAGAAGGTTCAATTCAAGGAAAAGTTGGTACATCTTTGGAAGATACTAAAGGAAAAGAAGTAGCTACTTCCTTAGCCAATACTCTACTTACTTTGTTTTACATGGCTTAAGTACTGAAGGTAATTTTACTTGCAATAGAAGAGTCATTGTCATTTGAACCTCTCCAAATGTTTATCAAGCACTTGAAGCACAAGT